ATTGTTCTGTGTGTGTGAGTGTGTGTGTGTGTGTGTGTGTGTGTGTCTGTGTGTCTGTGTCTGTGTGTGTGTGCGCGTGTGTGAGTCTGTGTGTGTGTGAGTCTGTGTGAGTGCGTGTGTGTGTGTGTGTGTGTGAGAGAGTGTGTCTGTCTGTGAATGAGTGTGTGTGTGTCTGTCTGTCTGTGAGAGAGAGAGAGAGAGAGAGAGAGAGTGTGTGTGTGTGTGAGTGAGTGAGTGTGTGTGTGTGTGTGTGTGTGTGAGAGAGAGAGAGAGAGAGAGAGAGAGAGTGTGTGTGTGTGTGAGTGAGTGAGTGTGTGTGTGTGTGTGTGTGTGTGAGAGAGAGAGAGAGAGAGAGAGAGAGAGTGTGTGTGTGTGTGAGTGAGTGAGTGTGTGTGTGTGTGTGTGTGTGTGAGAGAGAGAGAGAGAGAGAGTGTGAGTGTGAGTGTGTGTCTGTCTGTCTGTGTGAGTGCGTGTGTGTGTGTGTGTGTGTGAGAGAGTGTGTCTGTCTGTGAATGAGTGTGTGTGTGTCTGTCTGTCTGTGAGAGAGAGAGAGAGAGAGAGAGAGAGTGTGTGTGTGTGTGAGTGAGTGAGTGTTTGTGTGTGTATGTGTGAGTGTGTCTGTCTGTGAGTGAGTGAGTCTGTCTGTCTGTCTCTGTGTGAGTGAGTGAGTGAGTGAGTGAGTGAGTGTGTGAGAGAGAGAGAGAGTGTGTGTGTGTGTGTGTGTGTGTGAGAGAGAGAGAGAGAGAGTGTGTATGAGCTGGACTGACTGTGTGAGGTCTGGAGAGCTGCTGGGCCGGACGTTCTTCCTCAAGACCTCGATCCAGTTCCTGCGTATGCCGGCCGTCATGGCGGAGAGCGTGAAGACGGCGTCTCTGGTCTGCAGGACACACACACGCACACACTGAGTATCAGCAGATCAGCGCAGGAATGCAGCGAGTCCAGACGTGATCCTGTACTGACCTGAATCTGAAAGCCGTAGTTCTTCTCCACCTCAAACTCAGAGACCTTCACACACGCCTTCAGGTCGATCTCGCCATCCACCTCGTCCCTCTGAGCACACAGACGCATAACAACCGTATAACAACATCATCAGAAACCATTCAGAAGATCAGCATACTACAATGACTTCTGAAGATCATGTGACACTGAAGACCGCAGTAATGATGCTGAAAATACAGCTGCGCATCACAGGAATACATTACAGTTTAACACATTCACTTAGATAACAGCTGCTTTACATTCTAATAATATTAAAGTATTTTTGAACAGTGGTAAAAGCGTGTTATTAGCTCTTATACCACGGTCTGTCTGAATGCTGGATTCTGATTGGCTGGCAGGTATGCAGTAAAACCGTTTAATGCACAGGGAGCTCAAAGTCAGTTTAATCACCGATCTGTATTAATGCGCCGCTGCTTTAACTGATGCACACAAACCATTATTCATTTATCATGTTTTTATATTTCTTATTAATTTTCCCTGGCTTATGCATTTCCATTGTTGTTCAATCTCATGCTTGTGGGGTTTCGTGAACTGTTTTGTCTGTATGAATAAGAGACAGATAAGTATCGTATCGTGACTTTGCTGGTGATACACAGCCCTAGTTATTAGCGTGTGTTCGTGTGTTATTAGTGCGTGTTAATAGCATGTGTTCGTGTGTTCACGCAATATTACCATGTGTTCTTGTGTTATTAGTGTGTGTTTGCATATTACTAGCGCATGTTCACGTGTTATTAGCATTTTTGTGAGTGTTCATGTGTTGTTAGCGTTTGTTCGTGTGTGTTAGCGTGTGATTCTCACCTCCTCTGCTGCAGAGTCTCTGTAGTACTTCAGTCCAGCATCTGTCAGCACAAACCAGTGTTTCCTCCACTGCGCGCACGCACGCACGCACACACACACACACACACACACACGGTCAGTCGTCAAACACGTCTCAGCATCATCTCACACTGAAGCACAGACAGATGAGTCTCACCTCTCCGCTCTCGTCCAGTTTAGACATCCATCCCTTCTTGAAGTTCAGCAAGTCAGGCTGCAGACAGACAGACGAGTTCATCAGACCAGTGTAATCACACACACACACACACATCAGTGTCACCATCAGTGTGAGTGTGTGAGAAACAAAACACAAGACCACAGGAAACATGAGGCAGTGATGGTGAAACTGCTGCTGTCGGATACCACTGAATAACACCACTCAGGTACAAACACTCACACACTCACACGCACACACAAACACAAACACACGCACTTTACCAGATAACATTAACAAACCCGTCTCTATCAGGATTACTTTCACATGATTTTGACCATCAGTGTGAGTGTGTGAGAAACAAAACACAAGACCACAGGAAACATGAGGCAGTGATGGTGAAACTGCTGCTGTCGGATACCACTGAATAACACCACTCAGGTACAAACACTCACACACTCACACCACTCACACGCACACACAAACACAAACACAAACACACGCACTTTACCAGATAACATTAACAAACCCGTCTCTATCAGGATTACTTTCACATGATTTTGCTTAGGGATGTTCATTTCAGTTATTTTTCCTAACCTACAACCGACGCTCGTTAACAGTTTATTAACCGTTAACCGACAAGATTATTCTAAATTCGAATTGAATTAAATTAGAAATGATAAGTGCCTGTGACCCGTTAAAAATACTAACATTTGTTTCCCGGGGACTAATTTTACACGCGCAAAAAGCAGCAAACAACAGAACATGAGGATTCACGTGGTCTTCGTATTACATCACGCACCTGCAGCGCTTCTAAGAGCAGAGAAAAACATCATAAAGCTATGCTATAGGCCTATAGCTATAACGATAAATGGGCCTATACGAGAAATACATTTTTACTTACTTAATAAATTAAGAAAACGAAAGAAAAACTGTGCAACAAGTAGCCTAGTATGCAGAGTTTTGGTTAATTGTTGTGCTGCGCGAAAGGAAACCAAGACGGCAGAAAGCGGCATCCTATTTTTCTTTAGGATTATTTTACAAAAGCACAAAGATTTGTTCTTATTGTGAATGTACACAAATAAAGGCAAACCTTTTACAATTCCGATTCTCTTTATGACTAAAAGGAGTAGTTGCTTCCACTGTTAGAAGGAAAAACTCAAGTGATTGCGCCGGCTCTGCATGCACGCACTCAGTTAAGCTTTGCTACCTTGACAATGCAGCCTGCTCATTATCATAATAAGCATATGGAGAAAAAACACACCGCTCAGTTGAGTTAAGACAGAGAACGTTCTGTTTATATCAGGATAGCATTAGAAAATTATCTAAATTGAAAACATTCTCCGCTTATAAACTAACTTTTTCATATCAACGTTTAACCATTAACAACATTATTGCATTATTGTGTTTCTGATTATTAATGCATTTTATAGCATTTTCTATGTATGTTTTGGGTGCTTTTTTTAATGTACATATTGTGTATATTGATGATGTACAGCATAATGGTCTACTATATCCATCTATCATCTCTCTATCTGACTATTTCTATCTATCTATCTGACTGACTATCTTTCTATCGATCTATCTATCTATCTATCTGACTGACTGACTGACTGACTATCTCTCTATCTATCTATCCGACTAACTACCTATCTATCTGACTGACTATCTATCTCTATCTATCTGATTGACTATCGATCTCTATCTATCTTACTGACTATCTCTCTATCGATCCGACTGACTGACTATCTCTCTATCTATCCGACTGACTGACTATCTCTCTATCTATCTGACTATCTCTCTATCCATCTGACTGACTATCTCTCCATCTATCTGACTGACTGACTATCTCTCTATCTATCTGACTGACTATCTCTATCTATCCGACTGACTATCTATCTATCTGACTGACTGACTATCTATCTCTATCTAGACTGACTGACTATCTATCTCTCTTTCTATCTGACTGACTATCTCTCTATCTATCTGACTGACTATCTATCTAGAGAGAGAGAGAGATAGTCAGTCAGTCAGTCAGATAGAGAGATAGTCAGTCAGTCAGTCAGTCAGATAGAGAGATAGTCAGTCAGTCAGTCAGTCAGATAGAGAGAGATAGTCAGTCAGTCAGTCAGTCAGATAGAGAGATAGTCAGTCAGTCAGATAGATAGAGAGAGAGATAGACAGTCAGTCAGTCAGAAAGATAGTCAGTGAGATAGTTAGACAGTCAGATAGATAGAAAGATAGTCAGTCAGAGATAGACAGTCAGATAGATAGAAAGATAGTCAGTCGGATAGATAGAAAGATAGAGAGATAGACAGTCAGACAGAGAGATAGACAGTCAGATAGTCAGACAGAGAGATAGACAGTCAGATAGATAGTCAGTCAGATAGTTAGACAGTCAGATAGATAGAAAAGATAGTCAGTCAGTCAGTCAGATAGATAGATAGAGAGATAGATAGTCTGTCAGTCAGATAGATAGATAGTCAGATAGATAGTCAGTCAGAGAGATAGATAGTTAGTCAGATAGATAGATAGATAGATAGATCGAAAGAGAGATAGTCAGTCGGATAGAAAGATAGTCAGTCAGTCGGATAGATAGATAGTCAGTCAGTCGGATAGATAGATAGTCAGTCAGTCGGATAGATAGATAGTCAGTCAGTCGGATAGATAGATAGTCAGTCAGATAGATAGATAGTCAGTCAGATAGATAGATAGTCAGTCAGATAGATAGAGAGATAGATAGTCAGTCAGTTAGATAGATAGAAATAGTCAGACAGACAAGTCAGATAGAGAGATAGATAGTCAGATAGAGATGATAGACAGATAGATATAGTAGACCATTATGCTGTACATCATCAATATACACAATATGTACATTAAAAAAAGCACCCAAAACATACATAGAAAATGCTATAAAATGCATTAATAATCAGAAACACAATAATATAATAATGTTGTTAATGGTTAAACGTTGATATGAAAAAGTTAGTTTATAAGCGGAGAATGTTTTCAATTTTCTATTTTTGTCACAACAGCAACAGCTAATGCTATCCTGATATAAACAGAACGTTCTCCTATTCTTGGTTTTGTACATAATGCATCTATTATTTTGGCCTGAAAATGTTAATATGTGGCAATTCGCTTAAAAAAATAAATAAAAATAAAATAAATAAGAATTTACAGTACATTTCAAACCTGGGAAACTTTTAAGTAGTTCTATTGGCATGTAATTGTTTATATAAAATATAAAATAATTCAAACGTGCAATAATTTCTATTCATC